AAGTGCTCTATCACTGAGCCACAACCCCAGCCCCTGATTTTCATTTTATTTTGAGACAGGGTCTCTTCGCTTGCCAAGACTGTCCTTCAATTTGGCAATCCTCCTGCCTCAGTACCCTTTGCCACTCCCCCACCAGTTGCTTAGATTCCATGACCATGTCTGGCTTATTTCTTTTTTTCAGAATGTTTGATAATATTTGGGGAAGAACATGTAGAAGCAAAACAGTGGAGTAAGAATATGGAGTTCACCTCCTTACTCAGCAACTTCTATCTTTATTATTCTGTGTAAATAAAAATTCCCTGGGTCTTTGTTTCTTCCTCTGTAAAAATGTGAATGATGGGGCTGAGGTTGTGGCTCAGCAGTTGAGCACTTGTCAAGTACATTCTAAGCTCTGGATTTGATCCTCAGCACCACATAAAAATAAACAAAACAAAGGTATTGTGTCCAACTACAATAAAAAGGTAAATATTTTTTTAAAAAATGTGAATGATAATGGTAACTACCCACAAAAAGTTATAACATAAAATTAGGCAACATATGACCCTTCCCAAGGACTTAGCCTGGTGTATAATTATCCTCATTGATAAATGTTTAAATTATTAAATCACTTAACAGCAGAATTTTTATTGGAGACTTTATTACTGGTACCTGTAAACATTTGTATTCATAATTGAATTATGTCTTTTTTCCTATGAAGGAAGAAGTTTCTATTGAAATTTTGAAGACATACATACAGGTAAACTATGAGAATCCATATCTTGATTCTTTTTTTTAATGTTGTAATGAAAACAAAAATCAGATGATGTTATTTTAATACCCAGTGGTAGGAAAGTCATCAGAATCCCTAAGAGATCTTTGAATTATCCTGAATGTGTTTGTCTTTATTAGTACATTTTAGTTTCACATGATAGTGGGGTTCAACATAGCCATTACTGCATATAACATAGTTTGCTCCATTTCAGTCTCCAGTATTTTCCCTTTCCCTCCCTCTGCTCACCTTCCTCTTCTCTATTGTTCTTCCTTCTGTTTATTCACTTTTAATTGGTACATAGTTATATATGAAAGTAGAATGCATTGGGATATGTTCATACATACACATAGCATAATTTGGTCAACTTCACTCCCCACTTCTTCCCCTTTCTTCCTCTCCTCCCTTCCCCCTTCCCCCCTCCTCCACTCTGCTCCTGAATACATTCTTGGAGTTTAAAATTATTCTGATTAGTAGTACAAATCCATATCTCTTGAATCTCTCCTAAATATATTTGAAATTTTGAAGTAAACTTTTATAAAAGCACTATTGATCCTAGAACTTTCTTTATTATTAACCTACTTTGCTCTTTTTCTTATTTTCAGCTTTTAATAAATGAGAAACATACAAATCTTATAGCCTTTTATACCTGTCATTTGCCTCAAGATCTTGCCGTTGCCCAATATGCTTTATTTTTGGAAGGTGTTACAGAATTTGAACAACGCCATCATTGCCTGGAGCTGGCTAAGGAAGCAGGTAAAAATGGTTGAGTAAGTCATCCATTGGTCTTCATAGTCAAATTTTCATGTTGTTTCTTATGACATTTGTCCTTTAAGTTTTGAATCTTATTTCTCTTGGCGAGCAGGAGGAATAAAAATTCCAATGACATTCTCTTTTATGTATAAAATAACTTACACCGTAATGTGTATATTTTTAAAATTTTGGCATTTTCTTTTATAATGTCTTTTAGATTTTACAGATTTTATGTAAATATACGTGTGTGTGTGTGTGTGTGTATCAATATCCCCCTTCAATACTGGAAATTTAACCCAAGGTACTCTACCACTAAGTCACATTTCCAAGCTCTTTTTGAATTAGTTTTTAATAGGGTCTTGCTAAATTGCCCAGACTGGTCTTGAACTTGACATCATCCTGCCTCAGCCTCCTGAGTCACTGGGGTTATAAGTGTGTGCCACAATGTGCCACCAGTTTTTAAAAAATTGTTCCAGGGACTGGGAGTGTAGCTCAGTGGTAGAGCACTTGCCCAGCATGCAAGGCTTCAATCCCCAGCACTGAAAAAAAAAAAAATGTTTTGAATTTACCAAACTGTTGTAGCTGTTTACAGAATATTAGAATAAATGATTATTCTTTGTTTTTTGTTACTTTAAAAAACTCTTTTTAGATTTGGATGTTGCGACAATAACAAAAACTGTAGTTGAAAATATTCGAAAGAAAGATGATGGTGAATTTAGTCATCATGACCTGGCTCCATCCCTAGATACTGCCACTACAGAGGTAATTTGGGGCATGGGGTAGGGGCTGAGGGGTATTGTAACTTCTAATCCTTTATCTTGTTTCTTGGTGAATTTCTATCTTAAAATATATAGTTTCTGCTTGTCACCCCTGTCCCCCAGAAATAATTGTTTTGTTTTGTTTTGTTTTAATTTTTTTGTTGTTGCACATAGACACACTGCCTTTTTGTTTATTTATTTTTATGTAGTGCTGAGATTTGAACCCAGTGCCTCACACATGCTAGGCAAGCACTCTACCACTGAGCCATAACCCCAGCCCGAAATAGTTGTTCTTAAATAAGAATGTTTCTTTGTCAACCCAGGCTTTTTACAAATTTAAGGTCTTACATAAGGGATTATTTATAATTGTAGTATGTGAAAAGAAGTTTCTCTAATAGAACAAGTCTGAGCATTGGCTTTTCGTTCCTGAGATTATTCTAGATGATTCTTTTATAAATCACTAACTCTTTTATTTTCAGGAGAAAAATTATATCTAAGTAAAAAACCAATTTTATTGCATTTATTTCTTTGGTACTGATGATTAACCCCACCCAGGGGCACGCTTACCACTGAGCCACATCCCCAGCCCTTATTTATTTATTTATTTTGAGGCGGGGTCATGCTGAATTGCTTAGGGCCTTACTAGAAATCTGAGGCTGACTTTGAACTGTGATCCTCCTAACTCAGTCTCCCACGTTACTGGGATTATAGGTGTGTACCATCTTGCCCGACAAGAAAATAATTTTGAAGTAGCTCTTTAAAAAAATCATATGGTTGCCAGACATGTTGGTGCATGCCTATAATCCCAGCAGCTTGGGAGGCACAGACAGGAGGATCTCTCTTTTTTTTTTTTTTTCCTAAAGAGAGAGGGGGGGCGGGGGAAGGAAGGTAGAATTTTAATGTTTATTTTTTTAGCTTTTGGCGGACACAACATCCCTATTTGCATGTGGTGCTGAGGATCGAACCCGGGCCGCACGCATGCCACATTCCCAGCCCATGGATCTCAAATTCAAAGCCAGCCTCAAAAAAAGTTCAAAGCTAGCCTCAGCAAAATCGAAGTGCTGAGTAATTCAGTGAGACCCTGTCTCTAAATAAAATACAAAATAGGGCTGGGGATTTTGCTCAGTGGCCGAGTGCCCCTGAGTTCAATCCCTGGCACCCCCTCCCCCAAAATGCATATGGTTAAATTGGTGGGGCATACAACATATAATTCCAATATTATAGTCCAGTGAATTTTTTTCTATAATTTGATAGAGAGCTGTTAAGTAGGAAAATAAATTAAGGAAAGTTAGATTTTTTTTTTTCATAATTTTAAATAATTCAAGGGAAAATGATGTTTATTAGAAGCACAGATATAAGTTAGTTTTACTAATTTGCAGATTATCCTAGAAGTAAAATTGATGTTTCTTTTTCCCTTTTTTCTCTCTTTAAATGAATAGGAGGACCGTTTAAAGATTGATGTAATTGACTGGTTGGTATTTGACCCAGCACAGAGGGCAGAAGCACTGAAACAAGGCAATGCAATAATGAGAAAATTCTTAGGTATTTTGTTTTTATTCTTTGGTCAGATCCACATACCTTTGAATTTTGTTTCGTTAATCTTTCTATTGAGGGTGAGAAGACCCAGCTATTCCTTTTTTGGTACTAGGTGGTTGAACCAGGAGCACTTTACCACTGAGTCATATCTCCATCCCTTTTTATTTTTTACTTTGAGGCAGGGTCTCACTAAGTTGCTGAGGGTCTTGCAAGTTTTTGAGGCTGTCCTTGAACTTGCAGTCCTCCTGCTTCTGCCAGGTTGTTAAGATTACAGGTGTGTACCACTGTGCATAGCCCACCTATTCTTTTACATATCCAATTTGTTATGCAAAAACTTACAAAGGTGGATTTTCGTTATCCTAGCCAATTTTGCATATACTGTCATGGCTGACAGACTGAAAAATATAACTGCATTTAATATCTCCTTTTATGTTATCATTCCATGGAGATATGAAAAGAGCCAGCCCATTGGGTAGGAATATCATTAAGACCTTTAATAGAAATACCTTGGGTCCTGAAATGGTTGCAGCTCACTATAAAAGTTAAACCAATTATTTGACTCTTTGAGAAACATTACAAAGAAGTTTGGTGAAAATTGTACGTTCTTTTTTCACAGCATCTAAAAAGCATGAAGCTGCAAAAGAAGTATTTGTGAAAATTCCTCAGGATTCTATAGCAGAAATCTATAATCAGTGGGAGGAACAAGGAATGGAAAGTCCACTTCCTGCTGAAGACGATAATGCTATCAGAGAACATTTGTGCATTAGAGCTTATTTGGTGAGATTGAAAAGAAAACCACAATTTTAGTAACAACTTTTCTGATTCACTTTCAGAGTTTAAATTTTAAAGTAATGATTGATCAATTTTATCTCTCTTGTGACTATAGTAATGACTGATCTACAGAGAATTGAAATCATGACCTTATCTTCATTATCGTGATTCTCTATTCATTGTTAACCAGCCAAGATCAGATAGCATATATGATATCCGGAACTGATGTTTTCTTTCTTCTTTCTTTTTTTTTTTTTTAAAGAAGGATTTAAAAAAAATTTAGTTATAGATGGACAAAATATCTTCATTTTATTTATTTATTCTTTTTTATGTGGTGCTGGGGATCGAACCCAGGGCCTCACACATTCAAGGCAAGTGCTCTACCACTGAGCTACAGCCCCAGCCCCAGAAACTGATGTGTTTTTTTTTTAAGATTCATGAATGCTCTTATGATGAAACCATGTGCCTCTTAGCTGCCATGATTCAGGCTTCAAAGTAAATGCTCTGAAGAGTTGGGGAAAAGAAAAAAGATTCTGTGATTGCTTGTCTCAACTTTTAATATTTTTGCTTTTGGCAATAACTGAGGATAGCAAAATATTCTAGATTTGTTGGGACTAAAATAACAACATATTCATTCAAATTTTATTAAACAAGTAATCAAGTGATTATATTGGGCAAGGTCACAGAGCTAAATTTGTGGATAGTACTCTTCTCTTTGCCCTCTTAAAGCCAGTAGGCCAATAAAGAAGGTAGATAAGATAATATGCCTACTTCATAGAGTGATAAATGTCAAGATACATAAATAAACAGGATGCTGAGATAGAAGTAGATGCTATATATTTTGGTGGTATTTGTCGTTTGATAAAACATTAATATATTCCAGTCATTTTTGTTGTGTGTAAAAAAATAAATATTGAACAATTTTGTATTTTGGTGCTGCAGAATTATTTCTAAGAACCAAAATTTTTAAAAGCTTTGTTGAATAATAAATGTGGAAAACATTTTTTTCCAATTTACGTTTTAGGAAGCCCATGAAACGTTTAATGAATGGTTTAAGCATATGAATTCAGCTCCACAAAAACCTACTCTGATACCCCAGCCAACTTTTACTGAGAAAGTGGCTTATGAACATAAAGAAAAGAAGTACGAAGTAAGTTGAATATGGATCTAGGATGAGTCTGTTGCATCTTAAAAATGTATGTTAGCATTTATAAAGGTCATTTTTTCAGCAGCTATGTTACTATAACAGGTAATCTTTCTGTTAATGTTCTGCTTTGAAAAAAAGCCATCTGTTTTGTTACCTCCCTTCCCCTACGCTGGGACTGGGGATTGCTCAGGTACCACTGAACTACCTCCCTAGCCCTTTTTACTTTGTATTTTGAGACAGTCTCACTAAGTTGCCAAGGCTAGCCTCAAACCTGATCAAACTCCTGCCTCTCGAGTAGTTGGGATTATAGGCTTGCACCATTGCACCCAGCTGTTTACCTCTCTGTGGGTAATTAATCTTGAAAAATACCTTCAGGTATCATTAGCATTTATTTATGAAGTTAAAATTTAATCATTTTATTCAACTGCTGTCTGTTGATATAATATTTGGCTACTGAAACACCAACTCTTGAATGATGTTCCACATGTATATTTCTGCCTGTATATTGAAAATACATTATTTATTGATTTTTGTTCATTATGTCTGCCTCGTGTTTGTCTTGTAGATGAATTACAGTATTTGGAAAGGGCATTTGGATGCACTAACTGCTGATGTGAAGGAAAAAATGTACAATGTCTTATTGTTTGTTGATGGAGGTTGGATGGTAGATGTCAGAGAGGTAAGCTGTGTGTATTGCATATAGCTGAAAAAAAAATACATTATATTGTCAGATGTGCTCTTTCTGAATAGAAGAATCTACAGATTTTAGATAACCTTTGTAGTTATAACTAAATATCACATATATTCTTGGATAAACTATTACTTCAGGGCTGGAGATGTGGCTCAAGCGGTAGCGTGCTCGCCTGGCATGCGTGCGGCCCGGGTTCGATCCTCAGCACCACATACAAACAAAGATGTTGTGTCCGCCGAATATTAAAAAATAAATATTAAAAAAAAAAATTCTCTCTCTCTCTCTCTCTCTTTAAAAAAAAAAAAACTATTACTTCACATTTAATATGTTCACACAGGATAGTAGAATTTTATTTTTAAAATTCTGGACCTAAAATTTTAATTATACATGTATTTGACTTAATTTATAGATAGGTAATTCTAGCAGCATAAGACATACATACATCAGTGACTTTCACTTCTAAGGTGTCCATTTAAATGACTTGACTAGCTTTTTTAAAAGTACAAGGTTCCATCCCCAGAAATTATGGTTTAATTAGTTTGAGGAAGGGCTACACTGTTTGTTTTATAATCACCTAGAAACTTTAATGTGTGACCTAGACTGAGAACCAGTTAGAAAAGTATTAAATGCCATAAGGACAGTACAAATTAAGTATTTTTTTTTTTTTTAAGTTCAAGTAAAGAAAAGATTGTTTTGGGCTGGGAATATAACTCAGAAGATAGAAAGCTTCCCTAGCATGAGTGAGGCCCACACTAGAGGAAAAAAAGGAGGAGGAAAACAGGATTGTTTTTTAACCTGGAAGGGCTGTGGACAGGAAGCTTGAAAGTAGCATTCGATTGAATCTTGAACAAATGGGTAGAATTTGGATGAGGTAAAATGGGGAAAGGAAGGATACTACAATGATAGTATCAGAGAGAAACACTAAGGCCTTATCCAGGGACATGACAGAATGGTAGCTCAGTTTTCCCTCTGCAGATAGATAATCAAGAAAAACTGGAAATTTTAGATTATTGGATATTTATTTTGAATGGAGAACAACAGTGTTCTTGATACTTTTTCTTCTGCCACTCCTAATATCCTCTTTTATTTATCACTTATTCTTTAATTAATTTTAGCTACTATAGATATCTACCTCTTCTAGTTTCCCTAGAAACTTGAAACTAGATTGGAACCTCTGTTTGCTGTTATTACTGATAGATTAATGTTTTGTTTTTGTTTTACTGGGGATTGAACCTGGGGGCACTTTATGCTGAGCTACATCCTCAGCTCTTTTTTTATTTTTAGACAGGGTTTCACTGAGTTGCTTAGGATCTTGCTAAGTTGCTGAGGCTGCTCTTGAACTCAAGATCCTCCTCAACCTTGTGAGTTTTTGGGATTACAGGCGTGCACCAGTGTGCCTGGCTTAGATTAATGATCTTGAAACTTAGATTAATGATCTTGAACTTTTAATCCTAAAGTTCATAATAGAACTCCCCTGACTAGTTTTAAACCTTCAGCAGTTTCCTTAGGATAAACCTATCTTCTGATTCATGCTGGTGTTAGTGAAAATAAAATTTTCCTGTTACAAAATGCTAATTGTTACTTGAATTTTGAAACAACTTGAGTGTCTTGTTGATGAATAAGTCTTTATTATTCTGATTAATTAATCTTAGTAGATTAAATAATGAAAGCCACAAAATAGTCTCATAAAAATGATGTTGGATTGGCAGGCAACAAATGATATTGTATTGTTTTATGGAGCATTTTATAAATCAGTATTTGGTCTTAGTCATTTCTTTAAAACTAATCCAGAAAAGGAGATTCCTTTAACAGTCAAATGATAATGGTATTTTAATTACTCTATTGAGTTTATAGTTTAATACTCCTAGATATTTAATATTCAACAAAGTAGGGAATTATTTAGGGTTCCTGCTAGCACATATATTATTTGTGTGTAAATTAGAAAATTGAACCCCTTCCCTTACACAGATAGGTTCCATGCTAGGTACACATGACCTGTAGAATGAAGCATAAGCTAGATTTCAGCTTCACTCACTCACTTGACCAGGTGCCCTTGTATAGTACACAACTATACACGATATTCCTGGCATTACACACAGTTTAGTATAGGAACACCTCAAGTTTTTAAGTAGCTGTAGAATGTTCCTATTAGTATTGAAGGCAGGTGGCACAGAAGGTTGGCAGCAGAAGTGGAGTAGGCATCTCATCTATACCTACTTTTTACTACTACAACTACCTCTACTTCTACTTCTGCTACATTCTAGTCTAAGCTTCTACTGTGTCTCCTTTGCTTCCCGTTCTCTTTTTTTTTTTTTTTGTATTTATTTTTAATTGTAGTTGGACACAATACCTTTATTTTATTTATTGTTTTATGTGGTACTGAGGATCGAATCCAGAGCCTCAAACGTGCTAGGCAAACTCTCTACCGCCTAGCCACTACTCTACCCGCCCCATTCTTCTTTATATTATTATTTCCTTGTTTATCAATTAGTGATCATTTAAAAATGAAATATGTCACTCTCTTACCAAGAACTTTCTGATAGTTTCTCATTATAACTTGAATAAAATCCTTAGTTCTCTTCTTGACATATAAGACTGTACATTTGCCGTTTTTTGTTTGTTTGTTTGTTTGTTTTAACTACCTGCCAGTCTTATATCCTCCTGCTCCTCATTATGTTCTTGATTTCTGGATCTCTTTGCAACTCTCCCTCTGCCTAGAATGCTCTTTCCCCAAGATATCTGCCTAGGTAGCTTCTTAATTCTCTCAACAGTCTCCTCAAATAGTTTCCTTAGAGAATCTCTGCCCCCCATCAAGTTACCCTTGTTTGTTTTTGGCAGTGCTGGGAATCAAACTTGTCATGCTAGCCAAATATTCTACCACTGAGCTGTATAGCCCCAGCCCTAACCATCCTATATTTGAGTATTTGTTTTTAAATATTATAGATGGACACAATACCTTTATTTTATTTATTTATTTTTTATGTGGTGTGAATGAGGATGGAACTCAGTACTTCAAATGTAGTAGACAAACACTTTACCACTGAACTACAATCCCAGCCAACCACACTTATTAAATAGCATATATAATACACATCTGTCACTGAATCCTTATCTTATATTAGATTTCTTTCTAGCACCTACCACATTCCAATATGTGTTGTTTTGGGTTTTTGTTTTTTTTGAGTCTACTCCCAGTACAGTATAACCTTTATAAAGAGAGCAACCTTGTATTCTTCACTTCTTTGACCCTGACACTTAAATTAATGTCTAGCACATACAAGGCATTTGGTAAATAAATGGCACTACATTATTGGAGTGAATGCACTTTTTTCAGATTAGTTATTTCCATAATGTCAATAGAGGTAGACTTCTGCTGTCGACATGTCAGTTAATGAGTTTTTCTCACATAGAAGGCACTGTATGCCCTTGGTGAAAAGAATTTTTTGTTTTAAATGTTCTAGTATATTTTAAAGCTTTTAATTATTCATACAAGAGAAATAGGTTGTGGCAGAGTAGTTTATTTCTTTTTCCTTGTGGCAAATATCTAGGTCCATCTGGTGTGATTCTGAATGGTTGATAGCAAGCTGTCCACTGCCATGGGAATCATAGGAAAAGAGATCACTTGCACCACTCCCTGATACTGTGGCAGCAACAATAGGATTTAGGAGGAGCAGGTACCACAATTC